GCAAATGTGACATTTTAACCATTCATCCAATCCCTTTAGACCACATTAGAATCGATAGCTCTCAGTTAACCCCCATTGACTCATTGAGAAGGGTACAAATTGCATTGTACTTGATGGCAGCAGAGCTCTGAATGCATTAACCCTGTAGCAAAAACCTCTTTCACAATGCTTCTGTCCTCACAGCCAAAGTAAAGCTGTATTTGTTGAACCTAAAGCAGAATAAAATGAGGATTTGCTTGGTCTGTGCTGAAAAAGTTTTCAATATTGTGTTAAAGTTTTCAACTTGTGTGTTAGCTTTATTTAAAAGTAGGCCTATAGCCATTTTTGCAGTGTGAGGGTGTGTTTAATATAACGTTTAGTTAAATGTCCTTTTAATTTGAATGAATACAAAGGCAAATGTGTTTCAACACTGGGTTACTAGTACGTTAAGAACTTGAAGGAAGAATGAGATTGAGATGAGATGTATTATATCTGAAAACAATTGGTCCTGGTTTCTTTAGGGGTTGTGGACGGTTCATATTAGACAGTTCAAGCTTAACAAGGCTCGATGGCGCCATCTTCTGTTTATAAAGAACTAATAAAATATACTACCCTTCCAAAATTTGGGGTCGGTAAGATTTTTTAAATGTTTTTAAAGGAAGTCTTTGATGTGGCTGCTCTTATCTGATCAAAGATACAATAAAACAGAAATACTGTGACATATTATAGTAATTAAAAGTAGGCCTAACTGTTTTATATTTTAATATATTTAAAAATGTAACTTATTCCTGTGATGACAAAGCTGAATTTTCAGCATAATTACTCCAGTCTTCAGTGTCACACGATCTTTCAGAAATCATTCTATTGAATATGCTGATTTGTTGCTCAAGAAACATTTATTTCCTATTATCATCAGTGTTGAAATCAGTTGTACTGCTTTATTTATTTTGGAACCTGTGATAAATAGGACTTCTCTATAATTTCAGATTCAAATGTCTGCTATATATGCTATAAAGGAACATACTGTAGTCATTTTGTTAATTAGTGTTTTAGCCACTGATCTATATATATGTACTCTATTATAGATCAGTGGTTTTAGCAGAAAATTATATTCAAGGGACATATAGACCAAAAGGTCAAAGGTGAATCCAAAGAGTTTCAAAACGCTATTAAATTTCATTTTATAAAAAACAATAAAACAACAAATATAACAGTATAAATATGGTATACAAATATATGCAGCATATATTAAAAGTGTTTATGGCATATTCTTTACCAAAACTGGAAAAATTACTTAAAGACGACATAAGATTTTGAAGATTATGTGACGATCAGTGTTGGGGAAAGTTACTTTTAAAAGTAATGCATTACAATATTGCGTTACTCGACGAGCTAGATTTTCTACAGTACTGCGCATGTCCACTAGGCGGCGCACGGAGCAGCGCTCGCTGTCTGCATCATCTCTCTATAAACAAACCGAAACGACGCCGAGAGGTGGAGCCGCAGCGCCGACAACTGTCAAAAGACCCTTCCTGATAAGACAAGCCCTTCCGTCCTCAAGGCATCTCGTCGTAGCGCGCTCGAATCCGTTATAAACCACATAACTGAAGCGAGTATTCCGTATCTCGTGAGTGTACGGCGTCTCGGTCGCTATTCCGTTATTGCGGAGCGGCTTCGGATGAGCGGGTTTTGACAGACTGCATGTCTTCCTAGAGACCTACTGAGAAGGTGAGACGACCACGACTGTGTATGAACGCTAACTTACAGTTTCAAAAGCATCGTTGCGTGCTTTTTGGACTAGTCAACGAATGCCATACTGTTACGTGATGTAGAAATGAGGCGGCGCGAGCGTTTCTTAGAAACGCGCTACTGTAACGTTATAAGTTAAACGTATTTCCTCGCAAAGGCTGCATAGCTACATAACGTGTAAGTAAGTTGTATTCTCATTTGGGTAGTCTGTTCGTGATTATTCATCACAAAACTGTGCTATTCAGTCCAAGAAACATTTAATTTGCATCCACGTCAGGAAGGAAACAAAATGACCCAGTTTTATAACAAGAAACGTTTATTTGTGGTTCAAATTGGCGCAAATATCAAGAGAACCGCCAAAGTCTCGTAAAGTAAGAATGGAAACTCACTTCTGTCCCCCTTTCTGTGAACTCCTGATCATTACCATAGTATATAACGGGATGGTTGTTGCTTGTGGTTGCATGGGTATTCATGTTAGTTCATATTTGGAAGAAAAAAAAAACATAAATCTATTATACATTGAACATATATTGAACATCTTAAGTGTAAAATGTTTTCCTTTAAACTTGAAAAAAAAGTGTACAAAACAATAATACAGTGTACAAAATAATAATACAGAATATACACTATATATATATATA